GTAACAGTGAGCTTAGTTTAGTCTTGATGTGTCTTTTAGAAAAAGACTGGGAGGCAGCCTACCCTTTTCTCACCTGCTCCAATTCCACATCTTTCCGGGAAATGACTGTGGACTCATTAGTTATTCAAGATGGACTCGATTTGGGGGATCCCTAAGATTAGCACCTAAATCTCATGCCTAGGGTAGAAAAGGAGGTTGCATTTTACTTAATTGGGGGGTTATTTTTTATTAACTAAAATAGCCAATTCAATCAAGATTTCTTTCCCCCCGACCATTTGGTAGGTGAGAGATTACGATGTGTATAAACTATGTAATAACCCTGGATGGCAGCAGATCTCCAGAACAAAGCTGTTGCTCTGAAAGGCCATTTGGATTGGTCCGGGAACACCAGAGGGATGCAACTCAATGGCCACACTCCTATCGTTTGCCTAGAGCAAGATATTCAAATATGCCTTTCCTTCCAGAATGGGTGTACACTTTCAATCCCATTACCTCCACCTTCACTGCTAAGTAAATCAATGTATGGCAGCAAAAATCCAGTATAAATTACCATATTCAACTATAAGAGGGCATAATCATTAATCCTCATCATCTCAATTCATTTATTGGATTCCTTTTAGGTGGAGGATGTTGTTGGAGGATTGATGAGACAGCAATAAAGGAAAGAGTCCTTGGTTTAATAAAACAAATTATAGGAAGGGGAAAAAAATCCAAATATAAACTTTAGTATAAATCAATAATAAATATTGACCTAAACAGAGTAAAAATACAGGGGAGAAAGGCATCACTTGGGATAGGTGGTCAGGATCACCTTCTTTGAGGAAAGATCATTGAAATAGGACATGAATAAGAGGAGAGAAAGGTGACTATAACGATGAAAAGCTTTCTAGACAGATTAAACAGCAAGTACAAAGGTCCAGGGGTTGGTGAATGCTAGGTTTAAGGTTTTTGCAAAGCAAAAAAGCCAGAATGGCAAAAATAGGACAAACAACAAGAATAGGAGTAGCCAAGAAAGTTGAAAAGATAGCAAGAAGTCAGATCATGTAGGACTTTGAAGATCACAATAAGGACTCATATAGGAGTAAGGTGGGAAACCATTTGATATGGGAAATGACAATCTGATTTATTTTTAAAGCATCGACTTAGCTTCTAACATGGGAGTGAACTGTGGTACGATTAAAGTGAAAGCTTAATAAACCAGTCTTTCTAGAGTCTTTCAGGTGTCAGTTGCAGTAGGAATGCGGGTAAAGACAGGTAGTACCTGCCAGGGGTGCAGAGTGCCGGGACTAGGTGCAGGGAGGTAGGTAGTGCTCACGTCCGGTCTCCCCCTGGGGAGAAAGTACAGACTCAGCAGGCAGACGACCCTTCCTAGATACGTGGTTACCTGCAGATTACTTAACCTGGTGCCTGTGTCCTCATCTGTCAGGAGGACCAAGGCGTCTCCTAGGGACGTTTAAGTGATGTAAGAGACGACACATAGTCTGGCCCCTAAATGCTCCGTATCTACAAGCATTATTTATCTTGCCTCTCATTTATAGAGAAGGAAACTGACGCATTAAAACAAACCAGCTTTGTTCAACCACCTAATTCTTTACTGGCAGGGCCCAGGCCAGCCTCTGGTCTGAGATTCTTTATGCAAACACAGCATGGAGGGGCTGTGCAGGAGGGATATTAGAGGGCTCTTGGGGAGGAATGTGGGGAGTCAGCCAGGGCAGCTGCTCTTTCCCTGTGACTTTTCACTGGAGCTCTGCAGATCACACTTCAGTGCGCAGCCTGCGCGCCCGCCGCGGAGCCTGTCACTGGGCCTTCCCATCCATTTTCCGAATGCTTTGTGTTTATAGCAGGCTACTGCCTCTGGACCAAGGGAGAAGGAGAAGCTTGACAGCTGTTCCCATGCCACGTGGTGGCCTCCTCCCAGGCTGTGTCTGTATCGGTGAGTAGGTAGGGTTCTGCTTCCCGGGGTCTTCTCACTGGCAATGCTTTCTTCTGTCACTCACTGCATAGATGCACTCCCCTAAATCCTAGCATTCCAGGCCAACCGGCTCAGAAGGCAGGGGAGGAAGGAGAAGTGCATGACTCAGCCAAGCAAAGTGTAGGGTGAGTGAGGACCAGGCACAAAGAGATTGTAGGCAGAGGAAGGACTCGGATCTCCACCTCTTGATGCCGCACCCAGGGCAGTTTCCAACACCTTGTTCTGTTGCCTGATGGATGATCCACACTGCTTTTCATCTTCTTCTGCAAAGATGCAACTGCAGACATGAAAAATGATGATGTGAGTGCAGCACGTGGAGAAGGTAGGAGAGAAACCCTCCTAAAGCCTGCAGTGCACAGTGAGGCGAAGCCCTGCGGTTCCTCCCACCTCCCCCTCTGTTAGCTCTGTCATTCTGCACTGGTGACACCTTGGCCTGAGTTGTATCATCTCTGCCCATAGTGTGATGACAGGAGAAGCCATTCATCCTTCTCTCCACCTAGCATGGGGGTCAGGACAGGATAACTAAGAAGGATTACGAAGCCAGCCCGCCACAGCCTCCCAGCAAGAGGAACAATGCAAAGCCTCACAGGGCAATACTTTTATCTCAAAGTCTCCCTCTTCTACCCTTTCCCAAATGACAAGTCGCTTACTCATTTGAGTTTCCAGGGGTTCCTCATAAGTCAAGCAGGAATAAAAGTAACTATTCTGCTTGAAGCTATCAGACTAAGGCAAAACTGTGCATACCAGCCAAGGCCAAGGGCTGGGGGCCCAATGACCAAGGTGACCCACAACTCGAGGAACCTGAGGAGTAAGATCCTGGGAGCCAGCGTGTGGTTTCCACACCCAGCTCTGCACTCACCTGTTCAGGGTCCCAATTTCATATGAAAACGGAGATTACTGAGTACCTACTTCATAGGGTGGTTGTGAAAACTCCCTAGGTCAAGAGTTTAAAAATGATTAGCTGCAATGACCACCACTCTTGTTATTATCTTTATTTTATTCTCAATAGTGAAGAACTCTTAGGGATCATTCTTCCATCTAAGATGAGAGTCAGGAAATCCGCTCATCTTGAATGCTGTGTGTCTTGGTTATCTTCTGTCTTGTGAAATCTTCATACCTCTGGTAAATGTAAACACAAGGATACACCCTTTGAGCCCTCAAAAGATTTTCCTGGTCCCAGACGTCAGCACGTACTGCATTCAAGTACATCACAGTTGGCCATTGGTGGTCCTGGGTTCAGTGCCCAACCTTTATTACCCAGCTCTGGTTTCTGTGAGCCAGCAGATCCCAGGTCTTGAGACCCTACAGCCAAATGAACCAGTTTGTGCTCCTCCCTAGCAATCTTTGTAGTCTTCACAAAGAAAAAGAAAAACCCTATAAAAATCCTCCAAACCTCTGTGTCTTTATCTCTAAAATGGGGACAACAACATAACAACTGCATCCCAGAACTGCTTTTGTCCTGGTTTAAATGCAAGGTAAGTGAGGCCCCCAGAATGTTAGGATGTTGCCCAGTGCTGGCAGAAGATTAGCTGAATAGTAAGGCACAAACTGGAAGGAAAATGGCCATATGTGTGTCTGCCGTGTATGAGACATTGCACTGTGTGCAGCTGTACACTTCGTTTACCCTCAGAAAGGCCTCTGGTGGCTATTAATTTGGCTCCAGTTCTGTCTGATTCAGGAAATTAAGGTTCCTGGGGATAAGTGACTGGCCTTTGTTTCAGAACAAGGAGGCACAGAGTAGGACTCTGAGCCCAAAGCTGTTTCCATAAATGCTGCTGCCTCTTTAAAAGACAAAAAAAAAAACAAACAGAAAAATCACAAGACAAGGATTTTCAACAGCATTTGCGTTGAACTTGAATTTGATTTAGCAGCATTTATTCATCTCCCTGTTATTCATCCAGATTTTGTTCCTTCCTTCTCCCTCCCTCCCACCCTCCCGGACCCTTAAGCAAAAAAGCTTTTCTCTTTACCATTCACTCGGCACTGCAAAGCGGGAAGGATGTGGCTCTGAGTGAAACATTGTGCTGGCAAAATGACACTCCATTTTCCAGGAGCCCTAACAAAGCCTTTTGATTTGAATGTCAATGCTGGGAGTATGATTAAATGTGAGATTCACTCTTACATTCCCCAGCTGCTAAGGAAGTTGTGCAGTTCCATTAGTTTGACATGTGGCCGAGAATGTACCCCCTGCAAGTTTCTATGGCGATGCGGCTCATGGAACGGTGCTGGTGCTGGTGCTGGGCCTGGAGCCCAGTGGGTTTCCAGGTATTGAGGCTGGAAAGGCTGCAGGTTCAGAAGACGAAGCAATGTTCAGGACTTGTCAGTCCTTTAACGGGGCCCTGTTTCTATCATCTCTCTCCTGCTTGGTTTCTCCACGCTGACGCATAATACATCCTTCCTTCTTAGAGGAAGGATCAGCCTTTGGCCATGACTTAGTTGGTCCTGTCTTCTCTATTTCAAATCATTTGCTGTTCTGCGACATGAATTTAGGATCTGTAAAGACCCTCCAGGGAGAAAAGTCATTGTTTAATAATTCATCTACAGTGGTTTCTGGTCCCCATCCCTCCCTTTGGGACCTCTTGCTCTTACCAGTCGGGATGTCCCCATGTCCTCTTCTCAGCTCCATTAGGTCACCTGGAGCCTTGGCTCTGACCAGAACCATGAATGAAGCCAGGGAGCAAGAAATCGGAACATCTGCTTACAAAAAATGGGCTTATTTGTTTTCTTCAGAGTTGTGTTCACAGTATCATCATTTGTTTTCTTTTCTCCTTCTCTGTGGTCTGTCCAAGATAGTAGAGACCATGGCTATGTGTTTATTGATGTACTCCCCACCCCATGTGAGAGCTCAGTACTAGTAGAAATGAGTGACTACCTCAGGATATGAGCCCTGATTCCTGGCTGGACTTTGGAAAGGCCACTTCATTTTTGCTAGAAGCAATTCTTTCATCATAAACTGGAAGTGACCCCCCTTCTCGTGTTGCAATAGGAAAGAATCGGTAATGGCCATGTAGAAGGTCTGTAAAATGGTAATATGCCACTGAAATCAATGGCTTTGTGGTCGAGATGGATGGGGCTGTTGGGATGTGTGTGTTTGTGGAGTAATTGCACAACCAAACAGAGAGAGGCTCCTCTCTCCCACAAAGACTCACTTGAAGATGTGCCTAGCAAGAGACTATCAATATCCTCATTAAAATGGACCCAGAGAGTCGAAGTAGTAAGATGGGCCCTTAATCTCTTCTGCAGGAGCATCGTGAAAACTCATTAAGGTTGGTAGGCTGATTTGATAACCCTGAATAATAAGTGTGACAAGAGTATAAACTTATGTTATTAAAACATGAATTGGCTTATTTTCTGGATGACTTAAGAAGCCAGTGGGGTGAAGGCAATTTCAGGGGATGTTTTGCAGAGCCTGGTGAAGAATAAAAGCTGAATTTGTCTGTTGTCCATCTGCTTTTCTTCACAGAACAGTACTATGCCATCAGCGCAGGAAGGAAAACAGAAACCAAGAAAAATAGTCAGGAAAAATGGGTTCTTCTTGGAGAACTATTAACCAATTAACTTCCGGAAGTCACGGGCCTCCCTGAGGTTCCCATTTCCTCTGTGGACACATGAAAACATTGAAAAACCTATGCCACTAAACCAGATTTACAAGCAATCAATTTGAATGACTTGGGAAAAATGAAGGTATTTTGTTGATCTGATGAGATAGGTAGATGTTGAGCTTAAAATTAAACAAGCTTGCCTTAGGACCATACTTCAGAAAGCTTTTAATAAATTCCTGTCAATCTTTGAGGAAAGGGAAAATGGAATGTAGATATATTGTGTTTTTAAAAAATTATTTTACTATAGATTTTTGTTTCATTGCAGGTAACAAGTCAGTAAGTAATACTCTGATTACTTGGGGAAATACTAGACACCCTCAAATGATAGGTTAGGTGACCCTCCATCTTCAACAATCACTCGGGGCAACATCCTAAAACACTACTTTAATTTTAGTGGGACAACACTTTTACATTTATTAGATCAAGTATTTTTTGTATTAAATTCTTTTATTGGTACATGGTAGGTATACAACACATTTACATTTCTCATTGGGAATTGTACCTTTACATAATGCATCTTGGTTCTTATTTTTTCCCCATTCCTAGCCCTCCCTTCACGCCC